CAACACTTTTGAAGCTAGGGTTCATGTGCTTGACTGCTGCGTCGGAGGCAACCTATCTCAATGAGGGTCGCGGTGTCCAGCTTCCTGCCTGGACATGGCTCGAATCCCAAAAAGCAAAAATGTTGGATAGTCAGCGCCGAATGGGAGTCGCAGGTGTCCGAGGTTCCGGTAGCGTAGGAATGATAGAAACCGGAAAGGGAGAAGGACCTTACGCAAGGGAGAGAAAGGATGTCAAGGGCCTTATCGGTTCTCAAAAGACCGCAAATGGTGGAAAATGGAGCGGTGCGGGTGAGATGGTAAGAGGTGCCGGGGTCGTATTAGTTAGGTTTACTACGAGTTGGGTATACCGTGCCCTTGGGAGGCAGCGCAGGGAACCAGCGGTAGGGATAGAACTGGTAGGCGGAGAGGAGTTGTCCGAGAATGAACCGGAATCAGAAGAGAGCAGTTCGTTGTACAGCCGCTTTCTTCGGGGCGGTCTTTGGGGCGAAATCGACGAATCAGGGGACTACACCCCTGGGGGCAACTTCGGCGATGACGCCTCAACTACTAGTGGCTACTCTGACGACGAGGATGACCGCAGCACTATAATGTTGACCGATTCTGAATGGGAGTCCGAATCCGAATGTGCCTCAGGTCAAACCACGCCTACCCAACGCTCTCCACACCGCCGCCAAAACCACCACAATCATCCTCCTACCTTCGGTGAGATTTTTAATACCCCTCACGAGCTCGCCACTCTTCTCGACCCCCAAACCCCGGAACAACGAGATCAGGCCCGCGTTATGGCTCGCCATCTAACATCATCTCAAATACTCACTCGTAGTGGGTACGAGCTCACACTCGAGGCAGATCGCGCGCTGCTACATCCGGGACAGAATGAGGAGACAACACTAGAGTCCGTACTGCTACATCGCCGCCGCGAGACTCATGCGCATGATCATGACGAAGAGGATGATGAAGGAACAGGAGGTCCACAATGTGTGGTGTGTCAAAGCGCCCCACGGACAATTCTGGTTTGGCCGTGTAGGTGTCTAGCGCTGTGTGAGGATTGTAGGGTGTGCTTGGCGTTGAATAATTTCGCGAATTGTGTTACCTGTAGAAGCCCCTTAGAGGGGTTTAGCAGGATCTATATTCCTTAACCACGCATTGACTGGACTTGGTTCATTGTGTATAATACATAAATTACTTACGGATTTAGGGGTGTTGGATATGCTTTGTCTTTAGTGGTCTCTTATTTTTCCTCTTTTGCATTTTTTTGCCGGTATTCCTGTCGCCGTTTTTCTTGAACCATTTGTTCTATTGTTCTGGCATTGCTTTTATTTGGGAACCTTTCAAACTCACACAGTAGAGGATAAGAAGGAAGAAAACTCAGTCACATTATCTCATATCGTACATATGTAGATTAGCTAGATCTTCAAAAAGTAGCCTGACGTATTAGGTTATGATAGAATTGCAAAACATCGGCATTTTCCCCGCACCACTCAACCGCTTTGCGGCATAAAGTGTATGTACTTTAACTACGACAGAGTGCCTTCTTGCCCTATCGAGAGAGCATAGATTATCACTCGTCTGTAGACAAACCACAGAAATCAAGGGCTTTATAGATAAAGCACGTGGGAACATAAGTGCACTAATGATACTTAAAAATAGAGTATTGTTTCGATAGATTTGGTACTCTTGGTAGATGGCGGGTAGGCTAAGAAGTCTTCAGGGCAGATTATTACGTTTCACTGGACTTATGTAGTGTGCGAGGGTATCTTGGCATGTGTTCAAGTGTACTATTTTACATAAAAGAGACCCAGCTTTCTCTCCTTTCCCCTCCGTGGAAACTTGAGTAATCGTCCTTTGGGATAAAAATACTGTGACTGTTCATACCTTCTCCGGAAACTCGACCGTCGTACTTTCGATCTGGTCCTTCTGGATGTTCGACCTTTTTGTCTGCTCTGCTGATTTTTCAACACCCTCGAATACTACTCATCGTCAGCAGATCCTCGGATCAGGAATCTCAAAAGGTGGGTGTGGGCCTACTGAAAGCGAGATCTTCCAAACTTTTATCCTTTGTTTCTGGGAAAGTAAAAAATATAACTTTTCCAGATTAGCATTGATTCTGATGTTGAAAGAGGGGTAGATTGCTTACCAAGTCCTTCAACGAAGAGCCAGACGGTATACACGATGTAGTATTTCCAACCGATTGCGGCAAGACCGATAGGGTTGACGAATTGGTTGAAGAAAGAGGCGAAGCGGGAGAATGTTTGGACGACAACTGTGCCCTTTGCTCTCATGCTGAAGGGGAAGAGCTCGATTGTGTAAGTGTATCTTTGAGTTGTTAGTAGGCGTTGATATGAGTTATTTAGAGAATGCGGATACTTACGTTAGTGGGGCACCATTGTAGAATGGATCTGGATGTGGATGTTAGATACCGGCACCGCAGGGGATCGATGTTAAGGAAAGCTCACAGTAAAGGAAAATCATAGCAACAACTGCGGAAGCGGCCCTCGTATCGTGAGTGTCCGCAAAACTCGCACTCGCTCCAGTCCACGCCGCAAAGGTAATAAACATCCCAGTCACACTGGTCAGATACATAACCCTTCTAGGTGTCAGACTGACTAGATAACTGGCCAAAAACCCTGTCACCAAATTCCAGCAATTCAACCCCAGATTAACCTTGTTCTGAGTTCTTTTTGATGTGATCCCTACGGTCTCTAGGACACGGGCAAGATAATACGAAACCAGGCCGTTGCCACTCCACTGACTAAAGGTTCCAATGAAGGCGACAAGAGCACATCGTTTGATGTTTGCCTTGGTGGAGATGAGTTCGCCCCAGGTATGGTTTTTTTGCTCCATGTCCATTTGGATGGTGGCTATCATCTCGGCGTATTCGGCTTTGACGAATTCATTGTTTGGGTCGCCTTCGCCGTGGTATTTCACGAGGATGTCATATGCCTCCTTTGCGCGGTCCTTGGAAACCAGCCATCTGGGGCTCTCGGGGACACCCCTAGGTAAAGGTTTAGTTTCAAAGTACCCGGTTAAGGGTTTGGGGGAGCTTACCAGATAAAACAAAGCTGGAATGCGGATGGCACGACTTGAAGGACTGAGGGGATACGCCAGGCCCAATCTAAAGGAGATCCGCATGAGCATCTGTTTAGAAAAGAATTTTTTTTCCTACGTACCAGTGGGGATTTGGAAAGTGCCCAAAGTTACACCGGCTGCAATAATACCCCCAATATACCTGAATGAAACATTATCAACAACCATTAACTAATTGCAAGCTTTTAGAGATACTCACCAACTTACGTTGAATGCTGAAGTCAACACCGCGCGTTCCTTATGGTATGCCAGTTCTCCAATAAGCTGCGAACCTCCTAAAACACAAGCAAAGCTGTTTGTCAGTATTTCCAGACGTGGTTGAGGGTTGGTGTCTTACCTGATAACGCAAATGGGATTCCCATTCCAAGCACAAAGCGGGAAGTAAGAAACATTCCCACTATTCTTTTATGTTAAAAGCTGTGTTTACGAAGTTGTAATCGGAGGAAAACTTACAGTGTACTGAGCACGTTTGTAATATCGCGCCAATTACCATGATGATGCTTCCAACAATGATAGACATCCTACGTCCATACCTGTCGTTGACCCAGGGGACAATAGGCATCATTGACAAGGCTCCAAGCGAATATATTGAGTTCATGATCCCTAGAATAGCTCCTCGGGGGTGATTGAAGTCTTATAGTATGTTTAGTAGCTATTCCCTAAATAGATATACTGAATTAGTTTTACATACAGGAATCCCAGGTATTAACGGCCTGCAATCCATTCATGATAGATCCATCAAAGCCTGACGTCCATTCAACCCCCATAGCCGCAGGAACTAGAAACATGTATAGGCTTCGAAGATTCGGTTTTTTGTACCATGGCGTATGATCATTTTTGACAAGATCAATGAATTTTGCGTTCACGGTAGCAGGTGGAGACATCGCGCTTGATTGTTGCTGAACCTGGGAACTACAGAACCTACAAACTAAAACCGGGAACAGGACAATGTCCTCTATTTCTATTCACAACTAGTTCATCCAGATTTCAGGTTCGAATTTTTTTTTTTAAAGATTTCCCCCATTCAAGTAAGCAGCTCCCCATGCCCCGCCCCTCTATTCCGTTGATTACAGGGGTTTGTCCGGATATCTCGACCTTTGTGGGGAATTCCCCCGCATTTTTTAAGAATTGCGTTTAGGCGAATATAGTTGAGGCGAAATAATAATATAAATCGTCTCTATTTAGCCAGCTCGTTCCGGGTTCTTGCTTTCTCGCGAATCCATCTTGTGGAGCGGTGGTTGAGAATGATGGAATTGTCGTTCCATTCCCCGTTTACGTTTGTTGATCATTAGACTATTAGGAAGGGTTCGCTAGGATCCTAGTCGCGGATATGTTCGCGGCTCCCCGGAAGCAAATTCTGGGGTGCATGTCTGGGTAGATTCTGAGATCTATTCGCACTTTGGACAAGGCAAGAGCTGACTCTTAAACGGTCGTCTCGGTGTTTAGTACTATATAGCCCCGAGATCTAACTAAGAATAGTGATTCCATAGTAAACCGCCCCCTTCGTTGAACGCGGGCGTTCTATCTCATTCGTGGGCTCATGATGGGCTGGTATCTGATAGCTGTCGGGCTACAGTATCTGTGCCACTCTCATGCCTACAGGTATACCTAAACACTTAAAGCAGACCGCAAGGAACCTTCAAATTAGTTTAAAAATGACCACGTGAGGATACTGACGATTATTGGATACACTTGTGCAAGGGAGAATAGGCAAAGTATGTTGCAGTAAACGAACTTAGGCGGGATTTAATTTTCATTAGGATTCACATCACAAGAAGCTGACTGGATATGTGATAGCACATCTGAAAGAATAAGCATAAACTGAGTATTGTATCTGAGTGCATATGTCAATGCAACTTGGGGTGGCACACCATACGTGTGGTGCATACTAACGACATTTCTCTAGTTATGCCTTAAATCACGGAGATGTGTATTTTGAAAGAGGTCTCTTGAATTTTGGAGCATGCTGCATGCCCGCCTTTTCCTACTGGAAATGGCCGATTGGCACAAACACTATAGCAAGATCGTGAGATATGTATCATTGGTTTTTTTCCAACCCAACTCTAGACACGGGATAAGCTATAACTACGTACGTATGTTGAGTAAAATACCATTGGCTTCCTAGTTTACCGCCAGCTTTCTTCAATTCAAGGAGAGGGCCCAAATAGAGATTAAGATGATCTCATAGTCTTTCTTCTTCATACTGGACTTTCTCGCGCTATACTTGGTGAGATGGCTTGAAGGCTTTGGGCTTCTGTTGTGCTAGCCTAGGTTAGCTTAGAGGGAGAGATCTGCAAGTCTAAGACTATAATATAGGTAGACAAGGCTGAAGATGAGTTCGTACATAGACTGGCCTAATGGCTCTTCAAAAGATTATAATCTCAAGATGACTAGGTGTTGCGTGCTTTGCGATCATTGATTATCACTCTGCGCCAAGCCGACGAGCTTCTGTGTTCTAGGCACAAACGTGCCCTACGTATACATGTAGCCATCCAGCTCGAAGTCTGGCTGGCTTTGGATGTCCGTGCTCCAAGATGCGATACGAACACGGCAATAAGATGCGGCAAACACTCCGCCCAGATGGGTAATTAGGCAACCCTTGATCAATCACTGCAGATTTGGGACGGGTCTACAGAAGGAGGCCGGATAGGGAGGCTGGAACGTTGGCGGTGACAAATGAACGTTGGATTGTGCTATGCAGTGCGTTGGTTTAGATGTTGCTATCCACGACAGTCTATGAGGAACTACGGTACGGCCGTAGTTTGACCAGAACCCCTTCACTAGTGCGTTGCCGTTTGTTGCTGGCCGTTTAAGAAGAGTAAAGGTGTGTAATACCTCATGCCTAGCTTGCGGTGTTTTGGTGTAGAATACCCCGAGGTTGGTTTTCGATACCATTTTTGTACCGGTTGACCTGATTTCCAAGAAGCATATTTCACAGTACCGGTGCAGTGATCTGGAGCATCAGGTTCCCGCGGCGCCCTGGCGGAGGCCAATCAGCTTTCCCTATGCCCACAACCTCCGAAAGCAATCCTTTAACGACGATAACCCAAATGTTACTGGAGAAGGTATTTCACCAAAGGTTTGAGAGATGATGCGCCAGCGCCTCCGGTAAGAGGGTTGGGGATGGGCTTAGGCCTTGATGAATTGTGTGATTGATTGATGAGGACCGGGAGAAGCCCTCCGTCTAGAAGTACATTTTCATGGCCTCGAGCCGTGAGAAACCTCTTCCTTCACTGGGCCGATTCTTTCTGCTGCCCATTCGTAGTACTACGTCGGTACTGATGGTCTCTTGTAACATTTCGTTTCGTAGGCGTCCACCTTTTTTCGGCTGGGGCTGAGGATCGCAGCCGTTTCTGCTGGCGGTTTGGATTTCTGGTCAGTAAACTGGTGCCACTACCTATGAAATCATACTTGTTCGTGGAATTGTGCAGGTCTCAAAGGCGATTAAGTAGTACAGAGGGGAAATTTTGAGGAGCGGGTGCATGGAAAAGGAAGATATAATTGTATAATTGAAGGCATCGGGGGGGCCCTTCAACATCACTCAACCACTCATTCCTGCCCTTAACCAAGGTACAAAATAAATTGCGTAAAATTACACTGGAGAATTTTGTAAATATTAAACAATAGAGTTGTGTAACTTTACCTGTCGTGAGCTTACACAATTTAAATGTGCGGTGCACAATTAAATTATTATTGCAAAACTGAAATATTACCTAATTTGGCAAGTTAATTGTGTAAATAGTACAGCGATGGGTAATAAGTAATGGAACGCCCTGAGATACAGTTATACCTAAAAACAGTGTATGTTGGTGGCGTTTTACCCAGAACAGGTATCACTGTTGTCTCAGGCCGTTCCATCACTTATTACCTACCGCTGTACACAATTATTTGTCGAAGATACATGGTTGTGTAAATAGCAGATAGTTATTTCAGGTCGAAAATAATTGTGTAAATAGTACACAATTATTTACATAACTATCTCCCAGCTTACACAATAGAAATGTGCATCAAACCGATAATTGTGTAAGACAAACAATTATGCAAATGTTTAAACAATATAACTGTGAAAATTAGGCCTTGCCATTGCCCTCACCCACCTCGTCCTCCTTATCCTCCTCCCCGTGGTGTTCGTGGTGTTCGTGGTCCTCGTCCTCCTCGTTCCCCTCGTGGTCCTCGTCATCCTCGTCCTCGTGATCCTCGTCATCCTCGTCCTCGGGGTCCGGGTGGTCCTCGTCCTGGTGGTTGTTATCGTCGTTTCCTTTTTCTTCCTTTCCTTCTCCTTCTAGGTTGGGACGTAGAGCCTGACTAAATGATGAAGAGGACTTTTCATGATTGGGTCCGCCGTTGTCAAGCACATCTAACTTTGCCCGGGCAGATCTTTTGATAGCGACTTCAAAGTTTCGCGCATACCACCTGGAAAACTTTTTCCTACTCTGTACAGTATGTGGTTAGCGAAAGACTATGTTAGTTAGGGTGGTGGGGATCCTTTATCTGCCTGCCGACTTCGAGACCGACTCGGTAATCATTCCACTTGAAAAGCGGTGACAATTCCAATACCCTGTCTCGGCCTCGGTACCAGCAGATTCCGTAGTGGCATTATCGTTTTCGATTTCGTGATAGGACTTACGCTGTGAAGAACTGCTAATTGCTTCTTCGCGTAGTGGCGGTGTAACTCCGGCGATTGCGAACCAGCTAGGAATCTAAGTGCAATAATCCATTGAAGGACATTTTGACCATGGATTCGCGCAGTAACCTCGGGGAGGGATTTTCTGCTCGCGAACTTAAGGCCATATTTCGCGGAAGAGGAAGGGCGGGTTGAATGATGTATATAATTCAAAGGGCTCCAATTCTGGGGGTCCTCAACTTGAAAGTAGCGTGGAGTCATAACGTATTGTGTAGATGGAGATATATCTGGGGGGGGCTAGGACATATTGTCACAGGTAGGGTAAGAGAATTCTCTTTTTACGTGCATAGGGCTCAATCCACCCATGATAATTATTATTGAACAGCAGGTATTAGCGAATGAAATGTTTTTCAGCCGGGCCAGTAGGCAGCTCACTGCTGGACTTATACACTGCCTGAAGCTTAAAATCGAAAATAAAGGTCAAATTTGACATGTAACGTGCCTCCATAAACCACTTCCCACAAATAGATTTCTTTTCCAAACACCACATCTCACTCGGGCGCCACGCCCGTTACCAAATATTAGGTATCCTTGAGTAGCCCAGTCCAGATCAAAACTGCATGCTTAACCATGTCTAGCAGTCGTGATAGAGACAACTTCAAAAGTGTACGTTCTGGCACGGTTGCTCGACAGAGCTCCCCCTCATTGGCCTAGTTTCTCTCCATATTCGGTTAGGGTACCGATCTCAAACGTGGCAAGAGATCAGCAAGATCATATAACCCCGCTAACCCCACAAAATTCAGAGAAAGCTATTGAATCCGACCCCAACAACACTCACATAGCTACAGTCAATAGACCCCGGAAGTCTTCAAAGAATTCAAGATGCTTATTCCAAACAAGTATGTCTACTTGCTCGCCTTAATGATTAACCCCCGCTGACAAGCTGGGCGGTACGTACAGCTTCACCCCAATCCGAGCCTGTATCTTTGATATGGATGGCCTCCTCATCGACTCCGAAGACATCTACACCAATGTAATCAACATAATCCTGCGTGAGAACGGCCGCCCCGAAATGCCATGGAGTATTAAAGCGCAGCTCCAAGGCCGTCCCGGACCTGCTGTACGTCATGCTCTCCCCTCAACCACGCAGGAATCTCATTGACAGTCCAAACAAACTTTAGGCAACCAAAATCTTCATGGACTGGGCGCAACTCCCGATTCCTTATGACCAGTATAAAGTGCGCCTGGCGGAGCTGCACCGCGAACACTTCCCCACTTGCGGGCCTCTCCCTGGTGTCTTAGATCTATTGGACACGCTCGCGGCGTCCTCTTCCGCTTCGGTGCCCCAAGAGAAGATGGAGATGGCGTTGGCGACCTCCTCGGTAGGTGTCAATGTTGAGTTGAAGACAGCGCATATGAGACATCTCTTTAAGCACTTCCCCGAATCTCAGAGAATTGTCGGCGATGACCCGCGAGTGCCTCAGGGGAGAGGGAAGCCGGCGCCAGATATCTATTTGTTGGCTCTGAGATTAATTAATGAACGGAGAGCGAGCGAGGGGAAGGATGAGATTCGCCCCGAAGAGTGCCTGGTGTTTGAAGACTCGGTTCCTGGAGCAGAGTCGGGGAGGAGGGCGGGAATGAAAGTCGTATGGGTACCGCATCCGGGGTTGTTGAAAGAGTACAAAGGAAAGGAGGATTTGGTATTGGCGGGAAGGATGGGCGAGGCGAATAGAGATGATGGACATGGGCTGGTTTTGGATAAGGGGACGCCCGGAGAGATTGGTGATGGAGGCGGAGAGTTGAGGGACACGCTGGAGAATTTTGATTATGCAAGATATGGAATCTTGTTGAATAATTAGATAAGTGGGTGTGGCGATTGGTTGATCAAGGTCGGAGTCGGGGGAATATTCGTGTAGCGGTACATCACCGTAAACAAGCAGCGGTATTTGAGATACCCCGTGGCCATATTTTGTTTCTCTTCTATTACTGAACACCAGTGCTTACACGAATTTTGAATCCCGTGAATCGCCTTTTTTGACTCCTTCACATTATTTGGAGGCCCTCTAAGGCCTGGTTCAAACTCAGTCATGAAAGATCACCCGACGCGGATTGATAGATTCTCCTCCCTATTGAGTTATTCGGTATACTAAGGCCACTCTATTACCCGTGCATAAATTTGGTTGTTGTATTAATTGTTGTGTGAGACAAGCTTCCCAAGGAATGAAAAAGAAATTTTCCGCGCGGACGAACAATCACCCCGAATGCCTGTGTTGCGATTTCGCTTGATGGATCCAGTAAATGCTATCATTTACCAAAATGCCAAGACTGATTCTTAATCTAGCCGAGGCATAAAATCTTGGATCCTCGAAAGGAAAAAAAAGGCACAGAACGTAACCCCTTAAATTGGTTGTCTCGCGATCGGGGATGTAATTCCCCCGCTTTGCTTCTAGATGCCATATTTGGACCAGCTACTGCGGAGTACGGCACGGCGGTAAGGTCAGTATTTGCCTCTACACGAAGTGATTCCTGAGAGAAGTTGAGATACTTCACTGTTTTCGTTGAATAGTACTAGAATTTAGTAGATTGTAAGTGGTAGTAGTGACTCTAGATATTAGTGATGAGAATTACTCCAAGCGTGACTGATTTAAAGTTTCCCGAGTGTCGCCCCACGGGAATGATGTCTCACAGCTCGGAGTTCACGGAGGCCCTGGAACCCGGTGCCCCCACTGCCCATTGACAACCTCTCATCTCAAACTGCACCGTAGATCTCGCATCACGTGCTTACCGCTTTCTCTTGCATCACTTACCTACTTCAAGCTTATCACTCCAGAAATAATCGCCCCGCCTCCTAGCAAACACCCCCGACTCCGACCCGATTTATACATATAAATCATGTCGCTCCCACAAACTACCGCCGCCTCTTCTTCGGCCACAGCAGACACGGAGATGTTTGACGAACAGCAGGACTACATCAGAAGCCTCGAGCGACTCTCGCAGCCCGCGGACCCGCTGGGCGCTAGTGCGTTCCCGAGTGTCAAGGTGGACGTCGATGAGGATATGACTATGACAACAAGTTCCAGTGCTACTGCCACGGAACCTGAGCTTGGATTTGGAGAGCGCTTTCCAGAAGAGGAGGAAAAGGTAAGCTCCTGGCGCGACTGTCGGCACAACGTGACTATGGGAGGGTGTCGCTGATTTTAGGCTACCATAGCGCTTATTGGCCGAATCCAACTCATACAGGTTATCTGGGAACACACTCTTTACATCCTCTCTATTCATGGCCGCCTTGGACGCCTACAACCTTGCACTAGAACATTGCCCCGTTTATCTGACCTATGAGGCCGCCACAATTCACAATAATATCTCTGCCGTCCATTTGAAGCTGCAGAATCCCGCAGAGGCTGTCAAAAGCGCTACAAAGGCGTTGGAAGGCCGGCCCGGATGGTCGAAGGCTCTGTATCGCCGTGCAAAGGGTAGGGAGGCTGTGGGTGGCTGGTCAAGTTTGCAGGGTGCACATGAGGACTATATGGCTTTGCTGGAGAAGAACGGTGAGGGATTAACCGAGAGAGAGAAGAGGGACTTGGAGGAGAAAGTGAAGTGGTTGCCAAGAAGGATTGAGGAGGCGAGAGAGAAGGATACATGTGAGGTTTTGGGGAAGTTGAAGGACGTGAGTTTCCCTGTGTGAAGGAGATCCAGGAGCGCACCTGCTAATCTGCTGTCACAGCTCGGTAATGGATTGCTCAGACCATTTGGACTGAGTACGGATAATTTCGGAATGGTGAAGGATGAAAAGACAGGAGGATATAGCTTATCGTTTGGAAAAGGTGCTGGAAAGCGATAGTTAGTTCCTGAAGTAGTTTTCGTGTGTTTCTTGGGATGGCGCGTACGGTCTGTTTTCCTTCTCATAATTTCATTATATTCTCTCCAAACACTGCGGCAAGCGTTTTCTTTTTTTTTATACCTAGGAACTGTACTGTAAATTAGATGGGTGGGGGATGATTTACCAATTGCATATATTAAACTATAATACCTAGGAATCTAGCGGCACTTTCCAGTGAAGCGGAAGTACCCGTGTTGATAGGGTATGGTTACCCCGGAGTCCTACCCGCACCAGTTTCAATTACGTGATGAGTTATTGGGTACAGGAGTCAGTATCGGACATTTTCGAGGTGGATACATACATGTATTTACCTGCAGCGCCCATTCCATACGACGCCCTTCGAGCAATCAGCGTGTCGAAATTAATATAAATTAGCAACTGGGTTGCCTAAATAATTCCCTCTAACTCTGGCGAATTATGATTGATGGTGAATGCAGTTCGAAGCAGTATTCATCAAGAGTAAGGTTATAGTTAACTGATCGCTTGTAGATCGTGCCTCTTGACTCAAGTTGTTCGAGTCAGGCGCTCGAGGTGGGGGGATGAAGAATGCCTAGGTAAATATATTGGGTGATTATATAAACAATTGTACCTACCAGTGTTAGCAAGGTGTACCGCTGATCTGTCCTGATCTGTTCTAATCTATCCTAAGTTTGCATGTTGTACACGAAGCGCACACTTTGGTGACTAGGCTCTATGACCGTTGTCAGTTACAGCTCATGGAAATTTAAATGGAATCATAAAGAATCACTCATCTTAGCCACCCCCCGCCCTAACACAAACCACAGTATTGCGTCAAAACTCAAGAAATCTAAATCCAAGAAACGATGGCTTGAGGATATTCCTAACATTTTATGACGATACCCATATCCTGTCTATCGAGACGAAATTGCAGCTTTGAATATTGGTGAGTAAGGCTTTTCCCGCCCGTCTATGTCCTTCGTTCAACATATGTTCTAGCAACAGCCTAACCTTTCTCTTAAGTCGGAGCTCAAATTTATGTGTTGATAACAAATATCAAGTGCGGACTCGGTAATCGGTCGACCTATTATTTGCGTGATAATTGTTAGTAATTTTCTACTTGTGTATTAGCTAACAATAATCACCCATCATCGGGTTTAGGTATAGACAGGCAAGGGAAATCAGAGATACAGGTAGACCGTGATCTAAAATTCGCTCCTTAGGGTGGTTTCAGGCCTCCTGGGCGGTGTGTAGTCATCGGGCAGTCCAAAGATTGATTTCATGGGCTTCTGCTGATCTTGACTTGAAAGCAAGAATTCAGCCATGTAGGTAGTAGGTAGGGTCCGCTAGCCAGTAAAATAGTAAACCCAACTATCATCCGGAACAGTGCTCGATGATTTAACTTCGCACCCGTTCAGACGTCCAGGCTCGAGAAATCGCTGGGCTGCCAAGGTCGTTTCATGCCACGTCCCGTACTTTTGATACGAGGCTATGTATTTAGAAGGTCCTAGAAGTGATTCGAGAGTCATTTAATGTTTGCGCCAACTGAATCGAAGAACAACAGACCTAAGGCCAAAACAATCGAGATGTACACACGCTTAGCACGGATGAAACTAGATCTTAGAGGGGGAGAGCCGGCAAGAGTAGTGGCCGCTGGAAACCTCAAATATAACGGATCCGGATCGCTGCCACTAATAACGTGAGCCACGATTATCAACTCTCATCTCATGAGACTTAGCAGGGGGAGCGGGAGATATAGCCCCTATAAGATACCTTCGAGCTGACTGTGATAGCTGTTATCAGTGATTTTCCCGAGGAGAAGAGGACTTCGGACCCTGCATACTTCTCCCGCCGACTTCCATACACCAATGAGGGAGTTGAGATTGCTGAAAAACCTCGCCCGAGGCGAGATTAGCGGGGACTTTTTTATTCGGGCCTTTCGACTCGACTTTTGGGGCCTTTCGGCTATCCCAGCAGCAGAGGGTGGAATTATAGTTTAGATGGGTCCGAAGGCCAATGCCAAGGAATATCTGGCCGCGATGGAGAGGCTTCGGAGTAATCATAAAGGGTAGCCCCGACGCTAGGAGACGGTAGCTTCCTCACCCTATAGCTATTAGGATATAGTTTAATAAATAAAAAGTTTCAGGTCTATTTCAATTTGAACACAATCACCAGCTTGTATCATCGCCCGATCCTGTAGAGTCGATTGGAAGGAATATATGGATCATAGGTAGTCACTCGTCGCTAGCGGGAGTTCTAAAGGACCGACTTTGTCAAGCGATGTGCTAAAAATTAAATTTATAATTTTGGTAGAATAGTACGTTGACGATGAAAAAGTTCCTACAAAATCAAAGAACCCCACAGTCCCCCAAAATTTTTCATGAAGTCTCAGATGATGATCTCAAGCCTGGCGGGGTCCTTCGTCCACGCGCCCTACTATCCCACTTTTAAGGACCGGTTCACTAGCATCGAAACCGGATATAAACAATCATCTCAGCCCTAACAATGGAGACATCTCTGTTCCTAGGGCGAACTGCGAATGGAGAGAGTACCGACATCTAAATTTAGATGAGTAAGAATATTTATGACTAGATTATCAGCCATGACTTGATTTATTGGCCTGGTGTTCGCTAACATTAAGATCAGCTGTAAGAAACAACCTGTCTTTTCAAGGTCGTTCGATAGAACGAGAATCACCAATCACCAAATGCAATTTAGACAGAAATAAGGATTTGTTTATGAACTGGATTTAAGACTCACTAAAGCTAAATAGGTTGTTGTTAACAGAATATCGGTAAATTAAAATAACTACATATTTGATTCCTACGGCGAAAAACAAGAAGGAAAAAAGAATCGAGACAGGGATGGGTACTTCCTGAGCCAGCTCTAAAAGAGATCTCAAATCTTTAAAATTCTTTAGATTGGTTTCAAACTGTCCTCATTAATTTGTTCCTGTCAACAAAGATGAATATTTTTATCCCCAATAATAGAGGTATGTAGCCCGGGGCCTTCTCAAGAGACATGAAGATCTTTGTACTCTACAAGAGTAATAGGTAAGCCATGTCCATGTAGAGAAAACTGAACTCTGAATTAAGTATTCATCCTTTCCCTTCTTCTAAAGATTAAGTATTCATCTTTCCCCTTCTTCTAAAGATACCCAATGCCTTTCCCCAGGACTCCACATCCTTCCCGCCTAACCGAAGGTCCCAAGGAAGTTGATTTGAGGATGTTTTGGATAGTCATCCTATCCCTCCTGTAAAATCTAGGACGAAGCTCTATATAATAGCTAGTAGGGGTCGTTTGGGCTGAGATCATTCTCCACATGTCATAGTAGGTGTAAGCCCCTGGCATTTTGCTGAATCCTCTTGGAATAGTTTGGTGGCCGTGCTGGTGGTAGTGGCTCGGAACAGGCAGGACAGGTATCAATTGAGGTATCCATGGTGTGAACCACCAAAACCTGGATGGAGATACCAGAGCTAACACTGATGAACCCGCAGAGAAGCCCACTAGCAATAAGACGCTAGCCCTAAGGAGAGCTATAACGGTCCAAAGTCGGTAGGGGAGAGGATGCCTTTAACGGCCTCCAGCGATGTGGCCGAGACCTCAGACTGAGAAACCATGAGGAGACAATTGCCCTCTCTGTTTCGGCATCCCCGCCCCGGCGGGAGGCAATCGCCCTCTCTGTTTCCACATCCTGGCCTCTATTCGTCCCCAGAGGTGTACAGGCGAAAAAGAAAGAAAAAACTGGCTCTGGAAACGTGAAGTTAGCGGTTGATGGCTTTCGAATCAATAGAAAATACCATTGGATGGCCATGGAGAAAGTGGAATTACACTGGTGGATATAGAGGTTCTATATAAAACCCGTATGAGGCGCCAGTCTCACAGAAGGAATACCTCTCAGGGAAATCAAGGTCTGTATCCTTTTGATTTTACTGAGTCTATTTTCTTGTAAATTAGCCACAGAAACTCATTATTCAAACTGGTAATTCTTCAGTAAATACGTACCTCATGTTAGGTTGTTTCGAACCTTCACGGTAACTTCGCATTTTAGAACCTCGAAAACCGCACGAATGCAAAGAACGAGCTCGCGAAGCCGCCTCCATGCATCGAGGCCAGGTATCAAGCGTCAAGGAATAGTTTATAAGACTATGTTGATAAAACGTGTTGTTAATTACCAAGGCCCTTTTTTAAAGAAAGGAAAAAAAGACAAACTCACCACGACAATATGGGCCTCGTCTAGGATTATAAGGCTATTGCCCAGTTGACCCAACTGTCTCCAAAAGCCGAGGCTTTGGCCGTTTCTGGCGTTCGTGGTGCACGGGGGGAAGTTTCGTACTCTACTGGAAGCAGCTCGATATTGAAAACCGGTCGAGAGAACTGGTTTTTAGCCGAGGTCTAATGACAGCCGCTAGCTATGTCAAGAGCTTGCTGGTCTCGGCGTAGAGGGAGGGGTTGGGCCGGAGATTAAGTTTTGGTCCGGGGAAGCGGGTCCACCGCTGTTGAAAACATGTTAGACACGTATAGATATAATAATATCATGACAAATCAGGATACATACCTCTTTAGACCCAGCCTGGCCCCAACGTTCGAGTTGAAGGTTGACCCGACTACTTCTGAAGAGGAGGCAATGGATGTTGAGATCCTATCCCCACGCCTGTTCCCCTTTCTCTCCTCAAGATAGTAGCAGTACAGATGCCCTGCAGGAGTATCAAAGGGAAACTTGCTCAAGACGTACTCTCTGTGAGAGTTCCCCTCCTCCAAGAATATCAATTGGATGGTAATAAGGTTGTAGAGGAAGCAGTACAGGCGCCCTACAAGAATGCTGTAGGCAAAAGTCCAAGGTGCTGCACCCGATGAGCGCTTGATTGCTCAGATGAGAGATATGGTCGGCGAGAGAAGAAAGGCCCAATATTGTAGGTCTAAGCAAGACAGTACAATTGCCGTACAAGAGATGTTTCGAGAGGTTTAAAAGGGACTCTGGCTCTTGATGGTTGGGATTAATATAGTGGGGATAGGTGCATGTATTTGGATGGAGTAGCCTAGCAAAACAAAACAAAGGTCAGGTTTCTAAATTTTGGTTTGGGCGTGCTTAGATTATATCGGCAAGGGGTTCAAGCGAGAATACTAAACTAAATACCGTCAAATTATCTACATGTAGTACATGTGGTAAGGCGCAATACTAGTAGGAAGATTAAGGACTTTGCACGTGATATACGTACAAAAATAATTACATGCAGTGTGGGTGGGTTAGATATAGCTAAAAAGGAACAAAAAAAGGGGATATAAATAGTCCAAGATGGGGTTTGGGGGGGGGGGGGGGGTTTCAAATCTCTTATTTACTTTCGAACTTTACAATCAATAAGATTAGTGGTGTTGGGTTCAAATATTGATGAGAATCACATTGCCTACTCACCCGGTTGAAAGGGCCGAGTGCGAGACTGTGATCCAAATCCCTGTCTTAGATGAACCCTTCACATTGTAACTTATCGAGTGATAGCCAGTGAATTAAAAAGCTACTTGTACATACTAATAGGTTCGCTCGCTCGGGAATTAGTTAGCTTTTAGGAACTGTCCTGGATCGATTATTGTCTACTACAGAGTACGGGTTTATACAAAGTTACAAGTGTTGGCTAGCTAGTAATATCTTGGCAGGCCTTGAGCTGTTTGGGCGAGATCATACGCTTATTACCAGGGTCAAAGGGGTGCGGGCTGTTTCTTTTGGGAAGGAAAGGGGTTAGATACTTGTATTATTACATGTATTTACGGTTTATATCTAAACGTTTTCGCTCAACCGTTGGGTTCCTCCCATTAAGATCAAAGGAATATGAGATTATCGACGAATTCGCGAAGAGGCGATGTGTATTATGTGTTAGGGCACGTACTCACTCAGGGTTGGTTGATGTCACACGTATCCTTTAACACGTCTATATGTAGCGGGCTTGATGTCGGTAAACCCCATCGTCTTTCAATTCGTTTAGAGCACCACATAGACAAACCGCAACACCAAGGTTTTGAAACGTCTTGTCCCATCGTCAAATTTTCGCTTTGGGGCTGTTAGATCCCATGATGTACAGGTATTTAGGTACTTGTTCCCAGTTGGAGATTGACGTTTGATATTTCTCTCCTGATATATTTGCGTTGGTAGTCTAGAGAGCGTTCTTTATTGGAAAATGCCAAGGTTTGCTGAAAACTGCACAGACAGTAGCCCTATATACTGTGCAAAGAGCTTATTAACTCGGCACCTGGTGAAGTTAGTTGGGAGTTTCGCAATACTGTGAGTACTGAGCCTTGTCTGATCCCACCCCATTGGCATCATTAACTGTGTTCTATTTTTACTAGAAAAGGCAAGGGTAAACCCTCCGCAATCAACCACGGTGTATCTGTTACAAAATCTAGGCGTATATCCCATGAACGAATCTCGCACCCACATAGCTTATAGTATCTTTGGTTACCGTCCATGTTAAACCACACCTGGCAAGTCCCTCATCCCCTCGCCAACAGCCAGAATATAACGGACCCTCGATCATTTACACCTGAAAGATACATGTAGCATTTAGTACCAATGATCGGAACGCATCTTTTCGTGACTAGTAGGGAAAAGCAATTATTAGGCTTAGCTAACCGCAGGCAGTCTTGCAACTACTTAACCCCACTCCGCGCTGACGACCGCGGAGCAACCGGACCTAGAATATCAACACTCAGACAGCTCCAAAAATTGGATATACTCAACTCACCCGATACTCGCCATGTCCGCCTCCAGCCTAACAGAAGCCTGGTCCCTCGACCTGGCGCCCGCCACCACTTCCGCACCCTTCATAACCCTCCTCTCTTCTGCCCGCCTCCCCGCAGCCAACTTCAACACCTGGCTCCGCAACGACTACATCTACGTGCACGCGGGCACGCACTTCCTCGCCCACCTCATCCACTCGCTCCCGCAAACCACCAAGCTGCACCCGCTCCTCATCGGCGGATACTTCACCCTCCTCAGCGAGCTATCCCTCTTCAGGTCCAAAGCGGCCGCGCGCGGCGTGGCCCTCCCAACCCTGCCCGCACCTCACCCAGA